ACACACACACACACACACACACACACACACACACACACACGCACGCTCTCTTTCGCTCTTTCTCCCCCCCCCCCCCGTATTCCACTCCATGCTCCCCAATCAAACGCATCTGCATAATCAACTTACCGACAAATAAAAGGAGAAGGGCGGAAACGCATAAGGATAAAAGATACATGCAGTAACCCTAACGATGCTTTCGCAACTGCAAAATTCAATTGCGATGATTTCTTTTACCCCCGGATCGTGTAATTAACACAGTTATTATTTTATACTTTCAATTATTTATATTATGTATTTATATCCTAACATTTAAAAGTTGAAATTGAAATCACAACACATAAGCGCAACAATGGCGGCCACGGCAAGACGTGAACACGTCCAATATGGTTGAAACTGTTGCACACTTTTGCATTTAATATGGACGGGCGTCCATATTAAATGCAAAAGTTACAAAGAGTTAAAAAAAGTTACACAAGAGGTTACAAATTCCCAGCACGTACGCTCACCATCCCATTGTCATCGCATCCAGGAAGACGTTGTCAGAAATATCGATCACAGCTCTGTGACAGCGATGAGAGCTGGGAGGGAGATCGAGTCACGACCCAGAATACCAGACCGACATTACGACATAACGACAGACGACATAACGCGTAACGCCGCCCCCCACCCCCCGCCCCAATCGCGGTCGTTATTGTTGTAGTATCGCATCACAGCTAAACTGCTAACAGTGATTATGATTTGGTAGCCTATATATGGGCCTACATATATATGAATACATGTAATTGAAGTTATATAAATCGTGTTATGACACACGAAGTGCAAGCACCCACGCGGCTATGCATATATACATTCTGTTTATGTTAAAAGAAGGAAGAAGAACAGCGTATCGGGTATATGATTCATATTTCGTAATTGCTTGTATGTTAATTGCTTATATGTCATATATATGCTTATTTGTAATTTTGGTAATATTTGTGATATTGCTAATTTTTTACCATTGTGAGGGAGATGTGGTAGTACTATATGGATAGGTGATGAGACTGCCGAGGCGGAGTGATATGAAAATAAAGGACTGGAAATATGGCTACCAAATCATAATCACTATTAGCAGTTTGGCTGTGATGCGATACCACAACAGGTATAGCTAATGACCTGACCTTGAACTCGGTGTCGGATCCGTCCAGTCTCTTTAGCGTGATCGCAGACAGGTAGTCCAGCGTCACTCGTGTCTCCTCTGCCATCTGTCCGCCGTCCGCGACTTGACCGCTACATCTGTTAATACACGAGTGCATGCTGAGGTCTCTCGTTCCCGCACGCGAGATGCAGAACCCCTCACCCCCAAAGCCCTCTGAGCCCCCCACAAGCCGCCAACCCTCGCACGACCCCCAACGAGACCGAGGCCGACGTCAACGAGGCGCGTTTCGAAGCGCTATTCGCCGTCCTCTGTTCTTGCTTCGCACCGGAGCTGCTCCGTCGAACAACGTTCTTCCGCAGTGCTCTCTCGCTCTCTCGTACGCTCGATGCGTGCGCTCACACCACGCGCTCACTCGGCCTGCCCAGGACGTCGCGTCGGTGCCGACTTCGCGTCCGATGCCCACATCCTCTGACGAGTGCAGTCAGCCGAATCTCTGCGGTTTCGCTTCACTCGCTGTGTCCGACTCGGGAAACGAAAGCGATGCTTCTGACACACAGACGCGTACGTGCGTCACGCGCTGTCACTACCTACTTACATGCGACTACCTGTTGACTGAGCGTGCGCCGTGGAGACAGGCGGCAGCAGACGTGGCGACCACCCGCGATCATCTCATGAATATCGCCGCGCCGTGCGCGCACAGACAAACAAAACGCCAGGAACATGAGCGCACGGCAGCCGACGTGCGCGCCGGTTGCCATGGCGACGGCCGCCACGCGAGATTAGTTTAGCGACAAACAAAAAGCACGCACAGCAGCAGATGCATCCTCGAGGGGATGCTACTGAAAGCTCACGCGCTCGAATCACCGCACCGATATAGCAAGTCTATTCATCTAACTAAGAATCGGAGATTTGTGATGACGGCGTCACGACAGGTGCGCTGGCAGAGTGCTGTGTTACCCTTGACAACGTGTACGCATCCACGCGAACACTATCAGCACACCTCGAGCATTATTTATGGCATTAACTAGAACGATACAGGGAATATGTACGGCCTCACAAAGCAATCATTGATCGATGAAAAGGGGAAATACAGGTAGGTCGCGTTTTACGACGGTCTAGATCTGGATCTGGATAGTTTACTGCGTAGCCCACGGTTACGTGTATAATAACGCAGGGAGCCAGTAGCTAGCCATGGGGTGTGACCTAGCTTGGGTAAAGCCAGGTAGTTGGCCTTATGGCACTGAGGGTGGTCACAGCCAGAGTTTTTTTTGCGCCCTCAGTGGTTATTTTACGTCCCCATTGGCCTTAGTATTACTGGAGACGGGACCGCCATTTTACGTCGTCATCCGAGCCACGGGAGATTCACAGTCTCCAATGTTGAGAGCCAGGTTTTACACCTTGAGAAAATTCACTGCCCTGGCCTGGGTTTGAGTGGACAGTATACGTGGCCTAACCACTGGGCCACAAAGGCGCTCTATAAGAGCACAATCATGATAACACGCATAAATGCGCCTATGCGAAGCAAGCATCCTAGCTCACAAACGCAAGCAAAATGCCACGACAATTTCATCTGAAATTGGCTGCACTGAGTTTTCGTCGCCACGCCTAAAACCCCATTGTTATCAAACCGTACTCAGTTGTCGTTAGAAATGCATCCGCAAATTTCCATCTAGGACACATTTATGAATAACCTACGAATGTAGGTCACGAATACGTATGCTACTATTATATACCCACTTCTTTCTACAATAACGAATGAACTGCATTTGCAGCAAAACGAAATACTAATGGCGCGAGAGCCAGTCCCATTCTCCACAAGGACAGAAGGAACTAAGAGAGAGAATATGAATTCATATTTCACTTGTGTTAAATCGAAGAAATCAACTTACTATCGAAATTTTCTATCTTTTCGGGAAATCTTCATCAGGACCCTGATGATGATTTCCCGAAAGGGGATCGAAAATTTCGATAGTAAGTTAATTTATTGGATTTAACACAAGATACATATGAATTCATAGTTTCAACGAAAGCCAATAAACTTATTTCATTCATAAGAGAGAGAAGAATGACGCGAGAGGAGGAGGATCGACATGCACGCAGCGGCCGACGCTGCCGCGTCACACGTCTGCGACTCGACTAACAAGCGAGCCTACCTTGCAATATCGTCCAAGTTCGCATACAGCAGAACGCCGACGACAACAACAGCAACGCTGGCGCCACCTACGAGCAGGGACGAGCGGCAGCCTGCCATACCGTGCGTTGCAGGGTGACTAGCGCCCCCTAACGTCGTTAATGTGACTAGCACTTGACGCTTATGCTGCCATGGTTGGAGCAGCAGTGCGGAGCGACGCCGGGGTGACCAGGCCTCGTACCTGGTGCTGCTGATGCATACAAAACCCTCGTTACATTCTCACGTACAAGTGCAGAGGCAATCCTTAAAAAATTCTATGTTTGCTGTCCCCCGACCCATGATTTTTATAGTGGGTATAGGTAGGTAGGTCATGTTTTTTGTGAGGCATAATAGTTATTTTAAGTC